CAGTCCAGTCATGCTCAGCTCAGCTCAGCTCAGCTCAGCTCAGCTCAGCTCAGCTCAGCTCAGCTCAGCTCAGGCTCAGCTCAGGCTCAGCTCAGGCTCAGGCTCAGGCTCAGGCCCAGGTCCAGGCCCAGGCTCAGGCTCAGGCTCAGGCTCAGGCTCAGGCTCAGGCTCAGGCCCAGGTCCAGGCTCAGGCTCAGGCTCAGGCTCAGGCTCAGGCTCAGGCTCAGGCTCAGGCTCAGGCTCAGGCTCAGGCTCAGGCTCAGGCTCAGGCTCAGGCTCAGGCTCAGGCTCAGGCTCAGGCTCAGGCTCAGGCTCAGGCTCAGGCTCAGGCTCAAGCTCATGCTCAGGCTCAGGCTCAGGCTCATGCTCAGGTTCAAGCCCAAGTCCAAGCTTCTCAAAATCAAAATCAGGCTCAGGCACAGACGCAAGCTTTCAATCAAGGCCAAGGCCAATCGCAATCGGGAGATAATTCGAGGACACACTCAAAGCCGACATCACTATCCCATTCTCCCGTGCAGTCCAGTGTACAGCAACCTATAAGTCAGGCAACACAGCAACCACTTCAGTCCCAGATGCAGATGAATCACCCGCAAACTCAAGGGCCGCAGCGATTGTCACAGCCCGTTCATCGTAGTGCCATACAAACCAAAATGCAGTGGATGCAACAAGGAACCGAAGGGATCTTTGTGGAGCAGCAAACCGCAATCATGACTCAAATGACGGCGAGTACATCGACTAACCAATTTCCGCCGAATGCACGCGACTTTGGGAATCATATGCCTCCAGGTCACTTGCAGCAGCACACTTTCCAGCAACAGCTCATGCATCAAGCTGGTGATCCTGCCGCCGGGAGAGGCGCGATGACGCTCCAGCAACAACAGCAGCAGCTGCAATTGCAGTTGCAGCATCACCAACAGATGGAAATGCAGCGCACATTGGAAAGCCAACAGTTGTCCCAACAAAGGATGGATATGGGACACTTTTACCTACCGGACCAGTCTTCGCTTCAACCATCGCTTCTGCCCGCGCAAAATCAGCAACAGCTCATGACGGGGGGCCCACTCACTCAACCGTCGCTGCAACGTCAAACGAGTCACGGCACTGCGCCGCAGATTCTGTCACGGACCAATACCCCACGCCCCGATGTTGTAAACTCGGCGCATCCCATGAATGGGCCACTGCCTATGTCACTGCCACCGATGCAAGGTGCGCCCGCACTGCCGAGTATGGCGTCGCCTTCGGTTGCAAAACGTGGAGATACACGATCAGCATCTCTTGCATCGAATATCTCTATAGAGCAGGTAAATATGAACTCCATGAACGTAGATCAACATCAATTGCAAATGCTACCGAAGCAGCCGTCGCCACCGCCGGCGTTGCCCGTATCACAACAACAGGCACCGCCCCAGCCACAACAACCTCAACAACAGCTGCAGCATCAGCAACAACATCATCAACAACAGCAGCAACAACAACAACAACAACAGCAACAACAACAGCAGCAGCAACACCACCAACAACAAAATCGACAGCAGCAACATATGCAACAACAACAACACCAGCAACAACATATTATGCAACAACACAATCATCAACAACACCAGCAACAACATCAGCAACAACACCAGCAGCAACAGTACCAGGAGCAACAGCGGCAGCAGCAACAGCAAGATTTGCAACAGCAACAGCTACAGCAGCAATTAGATGGTGCTGCAAGTGATACCAATTCAAGGATAGAGGAACCACACAGAGCTTCCAGTGAGAAAGTCGGTGGTCAACTACAGGAACAGCTGCAACTTCAGCAGCAACATCAAAGGCAAAGGCATCAGCCTCCTGGACAGCCAATGTTACAAGATATACAAAAAGGGATGCTGAGTGATCCTTCAGCAATGCCTATGGGGATGCCGTCCCATTCAGTGAGCGCTTTGAACTCATTGAACACCGATAACATGGTATGTGTAGATTTTCTCGTTCTGATTTCGTACATGGCAGAAGCTTGTTAATACATGGTATATTTATGAAGCGTTTGTTAGTTTTATCATCAAGTTGTGTTCATGCCCCTTTGTATTGATATAGTGATGCAATTAACCTATTTCGCTGAGTTTTAAACTGGAGAACAGGCGCTTTAAGTTCTATATCCTGAATGCTAATATTTAGTGGACACACATCCAAAATCTGCTCTGAACTGCTGTACTTTTGGATTATCTGTCCCTAAAAATCATAAAAAGTTATAAAATGTGCAATTTGGATGTTTTGAGTTTAAATTCAACATTTGAATGAATTCCCTTCTGTGTTCGGTCATTCTTGGATGCACAGGCGATGTTCGGCACTTCATTAATGGGACAAGCGTCACATTCTATGGATCAAGCATCCAACCTCGATATGGACACAGGGTTCCCTGGAAGTATGCCCGACGATTTGCTTCCCGAATCATTAATGGGTCTTATGCCCGGCGCATCTGGCAATGGTGCGATGTCGGGGCCCACTACGGTCATATCTCCAGACCTTCAGCAGGAGATACTGCGTCAACAGCAATTGAGGCAGCATATGAGCCAGGTGATGGACAGCCAGTCATTGCCGGTTCAAAGTGGTTCTGGCGGCAACCATATGACGGGATCTTCAACTCCACATAATACGCTGGGTTCTCTTGGTAGGTTCAAAGGTTTGATTGTTATACCGGCTTTGTTTCGTGAGCTATCGAGATATGTATGTTCTTTTAGTTAAAAAAATTGAGATCAATATATTGGCTTGAAGTATTATTATGACCTGGCATGGACTACTAATTGTTATTTCCACTTTGCTTTTTTCACTTCCAGATGGGAGGAGGACAAGTTAGCAAAGCAGCGCGTTCTAAAACTTAGCAGTGTCCTCTGAGGGAAATATCAGGCACATCATAGACTACAATGGGAAGAGTCTAAGATATGCTAGCACTCGGGGGACTTATTCATAATCATTAGCCTTCAGCATATAGGCAGGTCTCGAGCAGGTATCGAGCCAAGTGGCAAATAGCATCGAAAATACCGTTATATCTCAATAGACTGTAGGTTTCCGCTTTCAAATAACAGGGATAAGAACAATATTTTTATCCATCAGGCTCATTGAAGTTCTACGTTAAAAGCATCTCTCTACAATTCCAGGAAGTTGCCGGAACGATGAGAAATAAAGGATTCGACGGTCATTGCGGATGCATTGCTTTTCGAAGTTGACATATCCTCAAACCTGTACAGTTCGGCTTTTGGACTCTTTAGCTTTAATTAATAGATAATGCCTTATCGATTTTTATAGACTTTTCTACATCGGTATTTGATTTATTACAAGCATTCGTGCTTCAGATATCAATCGATTGCTAGCGCCGTGCGTCACTGTAAGTATCTTAACCGCCTCTTTCGCAAATTCCTCGACCTTTCTCCTGTACAGATGTTCGTTTGGTTCAGTGTATATGTGTGCACCGAGTTTCGCCATCCGTAGACACTGTCGGGTATAGAAGAATCGAGTAACTACGGGCTGATATAAATTTTAAAGAAAGTGACGTGGAAACACATGTCAACGCGGGCATAAACTGTGGTATAGCCCGTGAGGTGTAGGAAATGACTTCAGAACTTAGAAAAATAGTTACAATGTTAATGAGTTAATCGTTCTTACCTGAATGCCTAATCGTGGATCGAATCCATCGCTCAAAATCCTATATAGACCCCGTGTCCCGTCCATGCCGTAATCATATGCCTACGGGGAGCATAAAAACAGGATGATGTGTACCACAATCAATTCGGCTACATATACCAGACTCTCAATCGTTAAATGCTTAGCCCTCATTTGGGAAGATTTACACAGTGTCGTACGCACCGAAAAGTGCAATATGCTGTTTTGTACAATGTCGCAGTAAACGGTGGGATAGACAGGTTCTAACATACCTTGTCGAACCTGCCATGATTGATAGCAATGTCACACGTCGCTGATGATATGGCTGTTAGCTGAGTGTTATACTTGAACAGGATCTTGCGGCCGGTACACATAACCTCATCACACATTTGAATTGCCCTGTCGCTTTCTGTCAGTAAAACCAGATACAAGCAGGATATATATTTCATTTGCTATTGTATAAAATATGCACCATGTGATAGTGAAGTCCTGGGCATACGAGTAGCTTAGAAATTTAACAGCGTTCTCGCCTTTTGCAATTAACATATCATCGGTTGCCACATAGGTGTGGCGTACAGGTGGTCGTAATACCCCAGAAGAACTTTGCAATTCTCACAACTTCCACTGATCTCATCGCACAGATGATGTATGATTGAGAAAATCCCTTGCTACGAGCTCCCCCAGAAGGATCTGCAGAGCCAGGTTCGTGCAATGCAAGGGCATGAGGTCCAGAAGTACCTGATACAGATTTGGCTTCGGTAATCTTATCATCTAGATGCTGTGCCGTACTATTCATCCGGTCACCCGTTATGGACTGCACATGACCCTGCGAACACAACGCATCGTCACCAACAAGCTGTTTACCATCGTCAAAAGGGACCATCGCATCGCACTGGTTGCCACCCACGCGTTGCTGACATCGAAATGCTAGGTGTGTATCATCCTGTCTCGAGGCGTGTCATGGAATGTGCAAGCAGTCGGTAAGTTATGTAGAACATCCATTCGCATTCAGGCCGCGGCAGAATTAGAAGTCGCTATTCCTTCAAGGTGCCAAGGATACAATATTGGGTAAGCTCTGGAAACGTGAACAGCCTAATCGAGGCGCAAGCACATCGCAGAATGGGTACTTTATACACTAACCATTTGTGTGTCGCCGCACAAAGAACAGTCACAGTTGAAATAATATTGTTTCCGCAGTTGATTGCGTCGCTCCTCGCGTGGCTTTGCATTATCAATGTAACTAATTGTCATCTGTAGTAAAAAACGACAGTGGCAACAGAAATGCTTAAGTTGGAACTGCTATATTGTTCTATATCACCGTATCGCATGCAGGTATATGTTTGCGCGCAGGCAAAAAACCTGATATAAAGATCAGTTTCGATATGAATATATGTAAATTAAAACAGTATTGGCAATTTGAAATACCTCATCACCAGTGTGTACGTTTCGTATGAGTCTCGCCTGCAATTCGAAACCTGTATTGATCAGAAATCATCGTGAGTAAGACTTCTAGCATATATTTCACGCATATAAGGTTGTAAATGAATCGTCGAAACACATAAATTCGTACACATACCATTAAAGGTAATCACCACATTCGGATCGCAACTGTGGTTGAAGTTAGAAGCAAGTGGATATATGCCCACTCCACATTCCATCATCTCATCATCAAGGATCGTGAAGCTATTTGTTTTGATCTTTAGCGTGGTGAGCACAGAAGTTATAAAGCAAAACGCTCGTATCAGGTAGGGAGGGCAGAAGGCCATGACGAAATAGCTTCCCACGATCGCAAAAATGAAGATATTTGGATTGATAGTGCTTTGCGCTAGGACACCGCCAAAAAAAAATAGGCCGATCCAATCTAAATACACCGGGCAGAAGAATTGAAAACGATGGTTGCTTGATCGCGTTCGGGTTAACTGCAACAGCAGAAAAATGTGAGAGATCGAACACAATCACAATGCGCATACCACGGATAGTGCATTCATCGCATCTCCAATGGAGGGAATCTGCGAGGCTTCTATACCACTGGATTCCAAATAAGTACGTATCAACATGGCGGTAGGTGCCTGAGCTACATCGTCGTCAGTACTTTGTAGTCTTCGATCTGTAAGTGAGACGCAGGGGTGATGAGCTAGACGCTAACTGCACACAACGGCGAGGAATGGGGTTGAATGGTACACGTATATCAAAGAAAATACTGATTATCTTTTATCTCCCCCTCTGTGTTCTGGTCGTATGAATTGTACAGTATGACCTGAAAAGATCGTGCAAATTTTAAGGATCTATGCATGCTTTTTCCAAGCCATTAGACCCCTTGCAAGCGCTATCACGTTCACATCAATCACGATTCCCTGTGCAACCAAATTTGACGAGAATTATCCAGTCATTTGTGATTGTGTAGGATGTAGGTAACACAACTTCCATCACAAATTGGGTTGTTGCAATTCGCGCGAACGGTAAGAAACGCACCTAGCTATACGATTGAAGAACCTATAATAGATCGATATGCATTGCCAGCAACAAAGGAACATGCAGCGGTATTGCCCGTATCACATACTAGATTGAAGAACACCAAAGTCCGAATCAAACAGAGTCTTCTGCATTGTAGAAAAGAGAATAGAGGTCAATCAGTTGACTGCTGAACATATCTGGAATATACCAAACAGAACGGCGGCGGTTTGTACGGGTAGTAAGCATGACGACGTCTCTGAAACAACTAGATTGGCGATGGAACGAAATAGGATTCCCACAAGCAGGATTAAAAAAGCATGCAAATATTGTTCGTCTGCGCTGGTTGAAATCTACGCTAGTAGTCATACAATTTATAAGTCATGAATATATAGCTGCACTCGCCTTATCCGCTGCAGCCCTCCACACGGCATGGCATACAATCGACATTGCATCCAACGCCACCTTCTGAGAGGCGCAGATGGCTTTGCACTCCTGTTTGTGTCGAGGCCATGCTCTCCGCTATGTGAAAGAGTTTGCTTGTATGTGTGAGAATGACTCACAGGGCACCAACCTGTACAACGTTGCCGTGGACTGTACACTTAAGAGCTTAAGTGTTCGCGAGAAGCGAATATATGCCAGAAATGAGGAGACGAGTTTGATATGCAAAATTAAAGTTCTGAGAAAGTAGTGCTGGCACGCTCTCTCAAGCCAACCCAACAATTAAGAACTGCTAATTATTGTTCACGAAGCTCGTCATTTGCTTTGCTAGAGTATTAAAGCTGATGAAACAATTTTATACAGCTTTTTTGGCTTGAGACCTTGAATAGAAAGAGCCGAACCTGCATAGATATTATCCCAAGTTTGGTAAAGGTATAACAAGATCATGGCCAGCGATCATCAGTCTGACGACAGATGAAGCAGATCAGGGATATTATTCCAAGTAAGAAACTCCATACAACCGAAAGAAGCACAAAACGATGCACACGGCATGATTTACTATACAACTATAGATTTTTGTTTCCGTAGATAATGTTGATACAACCATCTGGATGTCTGGAAAAGTGCAGAGCACTAGGCGAAAGTATTTCAACCAAATGGCAGTAGATTTTGAATATAACACATACACACCTGACACTGGGAATTACAAAAATAAAGCTTTTTACATCGTCCGCATCCTCGTAGACCTTCACTTGCTTTCAAACAAGCCGAACATCTCAGAGCCTTCTGCTTGTTAGTTACAGTGTATGCAAATGGATCGCTTTTCAATACCAGAGTTCCCCTAGTGAGAGGTAATTTCGCCCTTATGTATCGCCCCTTATGGGATGTGGTAGATACTTCCCAATTCGAACTCATTCTGGCTTCGAACTTTAACTTGTTGATCTAAGCGGATGAGTGCCTATATTATTGATGGTGTATTGTTTGTATATGTGGTGCTCCGGTATTGAGTATGAGTATACACTCACTATACATTGTGGTCAAACAGAATCGTACTAATACATTTTCATTTATTTGTTTGTACCTATATCCAATGTGATGTGTCGGTCCTACAATAGTGCCCAGGTTACGAGGGAATTATGTAAATAATTTCGATAATTTTTACCATGTACTATAGTTGACCCCTTGTTGGCTTGCTGGGTTACAAATGGCCCGTATATGGCAAACGTCACCTTTGGCGGCAAAATAAAACACACCCGTTAGTTAGCCAGAACTTCAGTCTTCAGAAGTTCAGAAGCCCAGGGCCCCAGGCGGGCAGGCCCCAGCCCCCAGGCCCAGGGCCAGGGGCCAGACCAGAAGCCCAGAAGCAAGACGCCAGTACTACTATTATTTATCTGTTGTCTGCAGTACAGTGCGACTGACTGGAATATGGTATTTAAATACTATATAATATATATACACATGTATATATTCTATGAGAACACCACACATATATAGTTACTGACACTTAAGTATTGAACTTAAACAATATACGTGCGAACAACGAATAACATTCGCTAGTTAAATCTGCAAGGAACGGTTATAGATCTTAAGCGCTATGGGAGTAAGTCGAAGAAAACTACCTC